CCGTTTATTCGTTACTGCGCCACATCGATCACCTGTTTTAACGAGCTTCCGACACCGCCTTCCTACCGCTCACACTAGGGAGGTTGCCAATCAATTCTCAGATGAGTAAATTGTCTATTAAATGAGCCATCGGTAAAATAAACTGCCTATTTTCTTTATCATTTATCCATCGGAGATATTTCCAAATTTGGCATTGCCGATATCACAATGATCTGCACTGTACAATTACACAGAAATTTTCTATGGTGCTGGATAGTGACGGCGAGTCAGTCGCTTCTCAATCTGATACGTCGCGTAACCTACAAGTCGGCTTAGTCCAGGAGGCGAGTTATATTTGGCGAGTGGATAATTTATGATTGTAGGTATTATTAAATAACGAAAGCAGGATATAATTTTTAGGGAACAAATTTTATTTAAATCCCGAACAATGAACGTCTTCTTCGTAGGACTCGAAGCCTGTATTATATACATAGGGCACGTTATACACTCTATTCGTGATATATCACTTTAACGTATATACTAATTAAAATGTTTATACTGATTATACCAGGAACAGATTGAAACGAAGTGTATCAGGAACGGAGTTTGTACAACGTAGAGCATGGTTTACAGGCAAGTGAAGTGGTGTGTTCAACTACATTCATCCGATTGGTCGTTTTTTCACATGACATGATATTTCTATGTTTAATGCGGACTGTTTGCCTTTTAGCTTAAACCGGTCTGATACAACTTTGATTTAGGCTAGAGATGTAGACCGAATATTCAGATATTGAATTTAATTGAACATCCCGTAGATTTACTATTTTTTTTCTACAGATAATGTTCTACATCTTTACGTACAAGACAACATGCATACCTTATTTATGCGTAGGGTACTTCTTATTGGTGTCTTGCATTTCGTTCTATGAATGACTATTTTGGAAATAGGCTTATAACTCATTTTGTTTCTTATTTATTCCTTATTTTACCCATTTTAATCATTGGTATATATTGTCGTCTCGGAATTCGGCGAGTCTGTCGCTAAACTAAGCCAACTCTCGTGTTACCTACGGCGGCTAAGTCGAAACAGGCATGTTAGATTTGGCGAGTGGATTATCGTCCATAGGTAAGTACTAGTCTCTTCTCTGTTGAGTCTTTCCTTCAACCTACTCTTTTACTAATTCTTATCTTCTTTATTGTCTCAACCGGGATTTCACTACGTCGAATCGGGGTTGGAACTCTTCTATTCTTCGTTACGGTTTACTGGGCACGTGACTATGGCGAGCGCTCAATTACGGGTTTGGTTGTTCTTGGGAGGAGCGTTAGTACTGGGATTTCTTGATAATTCTGGGCTTTTATGAGACAACACTTTCACTTTAATTATGGGACGGGTAGGTAGTTTATGTTTCGCAATTGGAATCTCTGTACTTTAGCCTGGGTGAATTGCCTTTATTTATAATAAACTGTCTTATCTATTTACATTATGACTTGTCTAGTATATCGGACAAATCTAATTTATCCAATATATCATATATATCTATATATCACACTTATGTGATATAGCAGATATGTTAGATTTATTCCCCGGTTCTTATTTATACTTCCATACTATTTTTTTCCACTTATTGCCCAGATTTCAATTCGGGTTGATCCGGAATTTTAAATTTCTAAAATAGGACGAATACTTTTTTTAGGCCAGAACTGAATGTTTTATAAAATCATAAGTGTTTAAAATTGTTCAAACCGGGTCAATTATTTAAAAGTGTTATTTACAATCATTCGAACTGTACCAAATACTTCAAATTGCAATTCTGAGATATTTTTTAAGATCATAAATAGTTAAAATTCTATTAAACTATGCCAATTAATTTCTATAGCAATAACTTTAATAAATTTAATTTGCGCAAACTATACTTATATATAAAATAATACATTTATTATGATTATTATTTAAATATAATTTTAACATCTTCAGAATTATGAAATTCGAAGATATTTGTAGTTCCATCTTTTGTCATTACAATATTTTGAGTCTGATTTTGAAGTGTTCGTAATGGTGAGCGAAATGGTCTTGCTAATTTTAATTGAATTTCTTTTTTGGTTAATCTTGGTGTTCTTTTTTTTACCTGGGTATTTTTATATTGCATTGGAGCTTGAGATTCATTTTGTATTGGGACTTGTGTTTTTTTTGAGTTGGATCTTGAGGATCTTCTTGGATCAGAACTTGAGTTTCTTCATGGGTTGGAACTTGAACAGGAATTTGAAATTCTTCTTGGGTTGAAATTAGAACTTCAGATTCTTGAATTGCATTAATTAATATTCTAGTATTTTTTAGTTGTTGCTCGTTATTAGGAACTTTGTAAGATCTTAATCCATTAACTGATTGATGCCCTGAAAATGTTATCATTTTATGTTCATTTATACTGAGATCAGACAAAAGTTGAATGGTCATCCTTCTTTCTGAATGATTAGTAATACATTGATCAGTGATATTGATATTAGATGATTGTGTAATAGCATTCATCATATTTGTTAATGTATGTCATTCAAGTCCAGATTAAGAAACAAGTTCCTGTCTTGAATTGTTTGTGAATTTCTTGTTAGTTGTAAATAAAACTTTTCATATGCATTTGCAGGATGCAAATTTACATAACTCTGAAGATCTTGTATAGATTTAAATTCATTATTTGGCAAATCTGCAGGAATATGTATATGTTGGCTAGAAAATTTTCCATATTCATTTTGACCTTGAAGTCCACCCTGATTGTTTTTCTCATGTCTTATTATAAAAATCAAGTTTCCATCTGATTGAAAATCAAAGCAACTTAAGAGAAGTCAATAATGATTACCACCACATAATCCTAATAAGTATGCATTCCAGAAAAATGCTTTTTGTATAAGTCACATTGCTGTTTAGTTACCTGAGTTAAGATACAATAAAATTTGACAAATTTCTTTTTTTGTTAATTCTTTTGATTTATCAGTTTTACCATATTCTTGGTCTTGTAATTCTATACATTTTCCATTCACAACCTAGTATAAAATAGGAATTGAAACTGATCATTAATATTATCATTTTTTAATTACTGAAATTTTATACAGAAATCGTCAAAGAGAGGTGTAGGCTAATACAATTGATTTGACTTTATAAGTTTTCCATCCTGTTACTTAATATCAGCAAAAAATTCACATAATTCATGTTCAAGTTGCTTTTTATTATTTAGAGTTTGAATATTATAAGAATTATTCTTTTTTTGACAATAGTTCTGCAAGATTCGAACCCACTTTTGTGTACAAGCCTCAGTATTTTGAATTTTTGATTTCTTTATATATTGCTGAATATTGTCTTCAGTTCTATTAATATCTTCATATTCATTTGATGTATTTAATACAGTGTTTGTTTCAACTAATTCATAAGCAGAAATAAAACTTGACATGATAAAAAATATAAAATTGTAAAAAAAATTTTTTCTAATTGAATTTTTTTTTATATAAATTTAAACCATATGAATTATATCACTTTAATTAAAAAAAAATAATATGAAAGTATAATAAGAACCTGGAAATAAATTAGTTATTGCCCACTTCATGGGCAATAACATATACATATCTGACATATCTGATATTTCTGACATTCAGGATTTACGGCACATGTAGAGATAGGAAAATTGAAGTTTTTTTAAAAGTACTATGCAGGCTGCACAGCCTGTACAAGCCTGCACAGCCTACACAATCTCAGTCTCTATAGACTTTTACTCATTAGGTTTTGCATTTATATATATATAACATCTATTTCATATATGTAAAGTTTGACTCTCATCATTTTTAATTAATGCTCCAAGGTTAGTTTAAACATCAGTTTTTATTATTTTGCATTTTTTTTCACTTTTTCTCTGCATATTAGTGAATTGATAATTCTGGTCAAATTTGCAGATTATTTGGCCAGATCTAGAACAAAGCAACTTTAAATGTGGTCAAATGTTCTGCAAGTTTGATCAGAATTATGAACAATGGATTCTATTAATCAGGTGATGCAATTCTAAGCTGTCGGCCAAAAGAATATGAGTTATAGTATCTCAAAAACTCACTATATATCTAACATTAACAATTATGAAAACTTTTACTTAGAGGTCAGAAGTTAGTTATCATAGTAAATTTTTGTGTTATTTACATTTTTTTACAATTTCTTATATTTTCGTGTTTGTTTTGTTACACAAAATTCTGTGATTTTATCTGATCTGAATAGGGTCGGAAGTGATCTTTAGCTCAGGATTTTCTGGATATAAGAGTACCTGTTAATATGGGCAAAATGGTGAGTCAGTCACTTGATAGATGAATATGTTGTGTAACCTATAAATGGCTTAGTCGATAAAAGGTGATTAAATTTGGAGAGTGGTGTGTTTAGGATCATAAGTTTATAATATAATATCATGAAAGCAGGAAAGTATTTGGGTCAAAATGTATTGCAAACATGAAAACTCCTGCTCAGGTAGGGCACAAAGCCTTTATTATATATTGTTATATTACATATATACTCTTACAGCTATTAAACATACTAAACTTATTATTTAATATATATATTCTTAATCCCTGTATTAATTAAATCTCTGTTATATTATATATCCCTTTACTTATAGTTCTTCCTTAAAACCCTTATCACTGCTATTACCCTTATAATCACTAAACAACTTTTAAGAGTGATAATCCCGAAAAACCCATATTAGGTAGGTGATTGACATAGCTGTTAGTTATTACTGCACCACCTCGATCATCTTTTTTATGTGCTTCCAGAATCACATTTCACAGCCCACACCGTGATGCAGATCTGTTTTTCTTTTGAGCTGATCTGAACTGATTTCTGATTAATAATTCAAACCTGAATTATAAAGCTAAGCAGAATTATAGCAGCTGGCCAGATTATGAAAATTGCACTGCACAGCCTCAAAAAATGCCTGCACAGTAAAATACTGCACAGTGTCCCATCTCTAGACACATGATATTGAAATCAGCAAGTATAGCAAGTCAGTTACTTCACAATCCAAAACTTCATGTTACTTATAGTTGGCTTAGTTGAAAAGAGGTGTTTAGATTTGGTCAGTAGTTTGGGTCTGTAGGTAAGTATTTTTTTTTAACTTGTCTTGCGTTTTCCTTCTTTTGAACTTACTAACTCTATTTCTCAATTACCTCACTACATCGGATAATTGAACAACACGTATAACCACAACTATCCACAGTTCTTTGGGATAATTGGAATGATATAACCATAATTGATCCTGGTACTTTAGGATACAACAACCAGATGGAGGGTAACAATACTATGGGTTAGAACAGATAAATTGCAAGAAGCAAGTTTTATGGTCTAGAAATTTAGTGATTAGTTAATGTAGCAAGGAAGACGTTTATATATTTATCAATATGTAAGGACCATGTATTATTCTAATAAAACCAAGGACTTCCTTCCTTCTCTAGGGCCTTTACAGTCTTTATTTATCTTAAAATTCTTTATTTACATTTGCTATTTTATGTCTGCTACAACTAATATGTCTAATATGTTCGCTAATTCTACTACTTCGTTTCCAACCCATACTTACTTGACATGGCATTCGTAGCCTATGTAGCCGAAGTAGACTACGTAGCCAAAATAGACTAAGTGGGCCGAGTCATCCTAATTTGGAGTAGCCATGTCACGTGGCTTAGCCGGATAACATTTCTCTCTCACTTAGTATATGCATATTACATATATATATGCTAAGAAAATCTAAGCAATCCTTGAACTTAGATAGGTTCTTACAATCGAAGCATCTTCCTTCAGGATCAAATGCCATTAAGGCTGATCGAAGCAGAGATAAGTACTGGAATTTTCTTTGGTTTATTTGGTTTATAATTATTCGATCTACCTCTAATTCCATTATTGTTTTTTTTGTTTTAGGTCCATTATCCAATATAAAGATTGTTCCTTTAGGAGTCAATTTTGACATCTTTATAACAGCTTTCCTTTTTGTTTCATCTTATTATTGGTCACAAGTTTCCAGGTGGGTTTCATCAAACTTTTCTGATTGTCCTGCTTCCTTTATTAATGTTCTAAATTTATTTACCTTTTTATTCCAGTTATCATAGGCTTCATTCAAGTTTTCTAACATGAAATGTTTAGCTTTTTCAACTCCAATTTCTGTTTCATTGCTGTCTCCATCACATATTATAACATCATCATCATCACCAACACCATTATTATCATTACTATCATTGTTGTTACCATCATCATCTATCTTATTATTTGCCCTATAATCAGACTTGTCTGTCCTTTCCATGATTCTAGAAACCTTTATAAATGCTTCTATTTCATTAGGGTTTTGATAATAAGGGTGTGCCTCATGTTTTTCTTTTTCAACACCAATCCCTTCAGCCTTTTTAACTTCAATTCCATCTTCATAGCAATAGCCATCATTAAATGTTCCATTAGAATTACCCATATCTACAGGTTTTTGATAATAAATGAAGGCTTTAGGTTCATTTTTCTTGACTTTGATCCCATTTCAATATCATTCTTCAGAGTTATTGTGTCCATCTTCAGCAAATTTCAGTTGTCATTCAAGCTAAAGTGCTTCCATATAACCATCGATCAGGTTTTCCAAGGAGACTTCAGTATTAGAGTTATTAACCTCTACTTCTGGAACAAGATAGAGATTGATTATCTCCTCAATTGGGTTCTTGGTCAAGGGTTGTGTTGAGAGAACTTTCTGACTTGGGACTATTGTGGTTGGTGTAGCTGATCCTCTTTTACAGAACTTTACTAGGCAAGTATTAATGATTCATTTTAGACTATTAGAGACAACAGGGTTTTCTTGACAGTGTATATGGTGGAGATAATTATAAAAAACAGGAGTTGCAAGTACTTTAATATATGAGAGTAGATATATAACTGGTTCTTCTCAGGTCATTAAAGAATGTCTTTTCGAGTTATAGGGCTGGAATGATTGTAAGCAATGGTTTCATACAGATGTGGATATACAATTTCCTCTTCTTTATCATTGTCATTTAGGTTGTTATTCAAGCTAACATCCTCTAATATTTTCAACAAATATTTCAGAGCTTGAGGGATTTATTCATCGTTAAGGTGGTGATCTCCAAAAACTTCATCAAAGATTCTTTGAACTTTATTGGCTTGTCTTTTGGTAAGTGTGGTGAAAAGACTAGCACACATTTCTTGCAAGAGGGTCACATGTGGGCACTTACTAATGCCACGGCCTCTTACTCCACAATAGAAGAATCATACATTTCATTAGTTGCTTCTTTTAGTCAGTTGGGGGTTCCATGGAGCATGCAACATTATCCTCTTCATTGTTTGAGTTTTAACTTGTTTTCAAGGTTGCTTGAACATTGGCAGCAAGTAAATTTCATACATTCTTCTTGTCCTCTTAAATAAGTATTCTAAAGTTCTGCTGCTGTTCTTATTCTTATTTCTAATACTAATTCTATCTTTTTATCTTTCTTTCTCTACTTTATTCTATCTTCGCGTTTCTTATATCTATATTATTCGTATCTCACAGTCACCACCAAATGAAATCAGCGAGTATGGCAAGTCAGTCACTCCACAATCAAAACTTCATGTTATCTATGGTTGGCTTAGTCGAAAAGAGGCGTTTAGATTTGGTCAGTGGTTTGGGTCTGTAGGTGAGTATTTCTTCTTTACTTGTCTTACATTTTCCTTCTCTTGAACTTGCTAACTCTATTCCTCAATTACTCACTACATCAGGTAATTGAACAACATGTATAACAACAACTATCCACAGTCCTTTGGGATAATTGGAATGATATAACCAAAGCTGATCCTGGTACTTTAGAATACAACAGCCAGATGGGGAGGATAACAATACTATAGATTAGAACAGATAAATTGCAAGAAGTGGGTTTTATGGTTTGGGAATTTAGCAATTAGTTAATGTAGCAAGGGCCATGTATTATTCTAATAAAATCAAAGACTTCTTCCCTTCTCTAGAGCCTTTACAGCCTTTATTTATTTTAGAATTCTTTATTTACATTTGCTATTCTATGTCTGCTACAACTACTACGTCTAATATGTCTGCTAATTTTACTACTTCGTTTCCAACTCATACTTATCTGACATGGCATTCGTAGCCTATGTAGCCGAAGTAGCCTACATAGTCGAAATAGACTAAGTAGGCCAGGTCACCCTAATTTGAAGTAGCTGTGTCATATAGCTTAACCAGATAAAAATATCAATCATGACTTCAGATCAATATTGAGTATATTTTTCTAAGAAAAAAAAGGCTTGCCATTTAAAAATCAATTTTTGCCAAACTCATATTATATCTTGTTTTTTGTTGCTTATTTTAGTTTTTGCTTTGAACATGTAACAACTGCTTATTGTCTGTTAACCATTTTATTTAAAATAACTTCTTTGTGATTGTAATAATCATGCTTACTATATACATACTACTTACAACTAATTAATATGATAATCGTCTAGCTCAGATTATATCTTGTTTTTTGCTTATTTTGGTTATTACTTTTGAACAGATTTCCTTATGTCAAGACAATCCTGAGCTGCTGGACAAAAAAATGTAGGTCATAGTATATCAAAAATTTCCTGTATATCAAAAATTTACTATATATCTAATATTAATAATGGTGTTTTATAAGTAAAATTTTATTCTGAAAACTTTTACTTAGAGATTAGAAGTTAGTCATCATAGTAAATTTTTGTGTTATTTATATTTTTTTACAATTTTTTATTTTTTTTGCATTTGTTTTGTTATACAAAATCCTGTGATTTTATTGGATCTGGATAGGGTCAGAAGTAATTTTCAACAATCTTCAGCCCAGGATTTTCTTGACATAAGGATACTCGATTTATATTGTGAGTCATGAAATGTGATCCTGGAAGCATATGGAAGGAGGTGATTGAGGTGGCACAGTAATAACTAACAGCTATGTCAATCATATACCTAATATGGGCTTCTCGGGATTATCACTCTTAAAAGTCAAATAGAGTCTTTAGCAATTATAAGGATAATAGTGATAATAAGAGATATATTATATTTAGAGGGTTTAGGTAATACAGAACATTAGAAATATATATATTAAATAATAAGTTTAGTATGTTTAATAGCTGTAAAGGTGCATTTATAATATAACAGTATATAATAAATAGCTGCACAATGTTGTCACACAAAACCAGGAACGGAAGGAGATCGAGTTGCAGATGAAACTGCTTTTGTTCCAAGTTTTTGTTTGCTTAACTTTTATAAGTTTTATTTGTAACTTTAAATTAGATTATATTGTGAGCCGATTTTTTGTGAATCATGAGAGCCTGAATTAAGCAACAATCTCTACCTGATTTGAAGTTATGTGAAAAGTAACAGAAATGTTACTTCTGTTACTTTTCTTACTTTTGTTACTTTTGTTACTTATGCTATCTCTTTTACTTATAAGATAAATGAATATTGGCCTTTCTTTAAATATAATTAGGATGTAACAGATATTAGATTTATACTAGAAATTAATGACCAATGTAAATAAAAGTTTTATTATAAATAAAGGGCCTTCTGCCCAGAGGAAAAATAACTATGATACCCCAAGTAAATACATTTTCACACAAGAAACTTAAGTATCAGACCCATATTACAAATGAAACTATAACCCAACCCAAACTGAAAACTATCATTAAATACTTGTTATCCATATTATTATTTGTTTACATCCACTAAACTGCATTTCGATCATTCACTGTAAATCACATGATCAAATCATTAATGCAAGAGAAGGACTCAAATCTAATTTGATGTTTTATAACCTCAAGTTAAAGAAGTAAAGAAAGGACAAAAGAAGGCAAAGGTTGATAGAAGAATAGGTTAAAGGAAGGACTTAGAAAGAAGAGAAGAATAGTACTTACCTACAGATAAACCACTAGCCAAATCTAACATGCCTATTTTGACTTAGCTGCCATAGGTTACATAAGGATTGGAAGGAATTAGCAACAGACTTGCTGATTTGCCATGCAACAATATGTGCAGTAGGTCGAATACTAACTATGTTATTTAGGTGGACTTTATATACAATTCAGATAGATTAGTATTAGTAGGTATAGATGTAGCATTCTTGCATGTATGTAGTTTTTTTAAGATAAATTATTTACTTTTGTTTCATGTATCTGATAAATATAATAAACATTTGTCAATGGGTATATTTAAATAAATTTTTATACTATATTAATCCTATTATATTTAAGTTTGAAAATTTCATAATTGATTTGTTAAGTATCTGAGTATTTTACATTTACAAGTGCAATTAATCCATCCTTAGTATCTGGAGCACTTTATATTCTAGGCCTTCAAAAATCATAAGGAGTATTATAAAAGAGGTCTTTTAGTCTATGCTGTACAGTGATTTGTGATTAAACATAAATGTAAAAATAAGAGAATCAAGCATTCGATAACATTAAGTAGGTTAGTAAAGTGATAAATAGTTCAATTCTTAAGTGTACATTTGAAAAATATATACCTTTGAAGTATTGAACTTAGAATAGCTAAAATGAACAAATACAGTTAGATGAAATATATCATTTTTTAGATAAAATCTGTAACATATTTTAATAGCATATAAATTAGATTAAAAGTTAATTACAGCTAAATATTCATTGCAATAAGCCTCTAATTATGCAATCTCTCTAAATAAACTCTTAAATTTTAGCTCAAATATATATTTTATCTTGATAAGTATACATTTTTATTATTTTCCAAGCATCTCTTATAAAAGTTGAGTCTCTATAAAAGTTGAAAAGTTTTAACTAGAGATATAACACTGTGCAGTCTTTTTTTAAGGCTGTGCAGTGCAATTTTCATAATTCTGAACAGCTTTATAATTCAGATTTAAATTACAAGACCTAAAGAAAAACAGATCTGCAGCATCTGATTAATAGAATCTATTGCTCATAATTCTGATCAACTTTACAGATTAT